GGCCGACGAGATCGCCACCAGCGCCTGGGTCCACCAAGGCCTGGGTGGCAGCGCTGCCGGACAGGTACACCAGCGTTGCGTCATCGTCACTCTGGATCTCCTGGTTCACGATCTTCCAGCCGTTGATCATGTCCGAGGTGATCGGCTCGCTCAGGTCGCAGCCGATGAAGGTGTAGGCCGCCAGGCGCCTCTGCTGGCCCTGCTGCTTGAACTTGGGGTTGTCCTTCTCCGGACATTCACGATGCCAGTGCCCTTTTTGCTTGCATATGCCACATCTCGTCACTTTCATGAGCTGCTCGGGGGTCAGCTTGGGGCGCCTGCCGCCGCCGCTGCCCCGCGCGCCGGTCCTGTCGCGGCCTCCTCGGCCACGCCCGCCACGGGCGTCTCCTCGAGGAGGGCGAGGTGGTGGCGGGGCCCCGCCCGACCTGGGTCGGCCGAAGTAGCCCCGGTCGTTCTTCGCAGCGCGCTTCAGGTCCTTGTTTTGCTTCCACGTCCTGGTGTTCGGCCTCTTGTCGAACATCGCCAGCGCCTCCGACACCTGGTCCTCTTCGAGGTCGAGGTCCTCGAGCTCTGCCAAAATGGCTGCCTCCTCCTCGCCGTCGTCGTAGTAGTCCTCGTCCTCATCGCCGAAGTCCTCCCCGTCGTCTTGGTCCGAATGGTCACCGACCTCCGACTGACCCACCGGGTAGGAGGAGTGAGGGAGAGTGCCTGAGGCGTCGCCCGGCTCTTCGGCCTGGGCGGCCGCCAGCAAAGAGTTCGTCCTACTGCCGGGAAGCATCCGCTCGGAGCTGGAGGCGTCCATTTGTCTGAGCGCCCAGCTCACGCTCTCGAAATCCAACCGTCCAAGGGTAAGCGTCCGAAGATTTTGCATTCCCTGCGCTGTGAGACCGGACCCCTCTTCCAAGAGAAAACCTTTGATCTTGGAGGAGAGCGTCAGGTCATGAGCTTCAGCTTCGAGGAACTGGGACTCTCTTCTCGCCACATATTGGGTGAGGGACTCCTTCTGCTCTCTCGAGGCCTCGTAGAGGGCCTTCCTCCCGGTACGTCGCACGTCGTCGCCCTCGCGCTCGCCGATCATGAGGTCCATCTTCTTGAGGACCGCCTCGAGCCAGTCGTCGCTGGTGAGGACCTTCTCCGGAATGTTGTCGAAGTGCGCCTGCATTGTCCAGTCAAAGAGGCGCAAGAACTTCTCGCATCGTCGCCACGTCGGTACATCAGTATTGGTATTCCACCGCCTCAGCGCCTTGCGCCAAGGTCGATAGTGACTCCACCCAGGCCACTGGGGTGGGTCGCTGTAGTCGCCTTTGCCGTACCAGCTCGACGTCGAGTCTCTCCATGACTGCCACGAGCCCCTGTCGTGCCAGCCGTCGTTCTTCCAGGCGTCAGCCTGGTAGTCCTTCTTCTTGTCGTCGCCGTCGTCATCCTTCTGGTAGTCCTTCCACTTGTCGTTCCAGTCGTCGGGGCCCCTGGCCGTCCAGCCTGCTGCTGCTGCTGCCGAACTGCTCCTTGCCTGGCTTCGCCAGGGGTCCCACTCGGGCTCATCGCGACCCTCGGGACCTGGGGCTGCCGCTGCCGCCGCCGCTGCTGCGCCCGTACTCGCAGCCGTCGCCGTCGGCGCCGCGCTCATAGTCTCCCTGACTACGCCAGCCACCAGGTCCCTCAGCTGCTGAGCCGAGAGGGTCACTGCCGGCGGTCCACCAGATGCTGCTCCTGACAGATCCGTGTAGACCGCGTCCTGGTCCTTCTTGTCATCGTCGTCTCCGTCGTCGGGCATACTCCCGCGTCCCGCGCCGCCAGCCGGCGCGAGCCTGGAGTGGCCCGGGGCTCTCCAGCAGCGACTGGGCCGGGCCGATCAGGGCCGCCCGTCGCCACCCATGGCGCCCGAGCCTCACCAGGCTCCGCTACCAACTGTGGCAGCAGCAGTGGCAGTAAGTACTTTTCCCTTGAGCCAACGTGTCGATACGGTCAGACACATGCTAAGAACCCTTAAACAAAACCTGTTCGATAAAATCAGCTGACCTGCTACATGGAGCACGCGGCGCACTTGGCGCTCGCGGAGCACGTGCCGCACTTGCCGCGCCTCGCACGCTTGAGCCTCCAGGATGCCTGGTGCACCTGACCCCGTGGCGCACGTGGCATACGCGGCGCTCCTCGGCGATGTGCGGAGACCCAGGTACTACTTATGCGTTGGGAGGACGGATGGGAAGGAGCGAGACGGCTTGCGGTCTTGGGGGGAAGCTCGACCACTCCCCCTACCCCCTCCCCTGGGCCTGGGAGGGGTGGGGCCGCGGGTACTTGAGTGCTCGATATGGCCTAAGATGGCCTCCAAGAGGGCCTCAGAGAGAGAGCCCAAGATGGCCTCCAAGATGACTCAAGAGACCTCAAGATGGTTCAAGATAGCCTCCGACACACATCCAAGAGGCCTCAAGATGGCCCCAAGACAGTTTCAAGTACCCTCCGAGGCCCCAAGGACCCACCCAAGACCCTTCAAACACATCGGGAATATCAATGTGTTTTGCCTTCTCGCCGTTTCGCTTCCAATGGGCTCTCGAGGCCTCAAGATGGCCTCAAGATGGCCCCAACAGCGCCCAAGACCACCCCAAGACGCCATGTTGGAGCCTCCAATGGGGGGAGGGGGTGAATTGAGGACCCCCCCCCTGATTTTGAGCCATGGGGCCCGACACGGCCCCAAGAGGCCTCCCAGACCCTTCCAAAGAGCCCCAAGAGGGTCCCAAGAAAGCCCCAAGAGAGCTTCAAAAGGGCTTCGAGAGTGCTACAAGAGGCTCCGCGAGGTCCCGCAGAGAGCCCCAATATGGCTTCAAAAGACCTCCGAGAAAACGCGTCCAAGGCGGCTGTCACACTGCATGCTTCTACACTGCCCTGATCACGGCAACTCGCCTAGCGATCTGTTTATGGATGGGCTGGTGGGGGTACTTTTTTCCGTCGCAGCCGCAAGCGAAGGCGCATCCAGCGTCAGAGGTCAACTCGGGCTACGGGCGAAGCCTAATTGCCAAGCGGACTCTCACGGCTGCACTGGTGGGGATACGCGAACCGTCAAGAATAAACTATGACGCTGCGTACAAGTTTGATGCATTCAAGCGCACATCAATAATACAGAGCAAAAGGCATCTGGAAATCATTTGGCAACACGTCTCCTCTCGATTGATCGTCTCACACAAGCCATGAGGGGATTTGCCGGCGCCGATCCAAGAAATCCGCGCGGAGCTCCGAAAGTTTCTGCTCATACAGTTGCAGGACGGGCCAACATAGGCTGCGTGCCATTGGCGGAGGGGAGGAAGGAGGAGGAGGAGGAGGAGGAGGAGGAGGAGGAGGAGGAGGAGGAGAGGAGGAGGAGGAGGAGGAGGAGGAGGAGAGGAGGGAGGAGGAGGAGGAGAGAGGAGGAGGAGAGGGAGGGAGGAGGAGGAGGAGGAGGAGGAGGAGGAGGGAGGAGGAGGAGGAGGAGGAGGAGGAGAGCAGGAGGAGGAGGAGGAGGAGGAGGAGGAGAGAGGAGAGAGGAGGAGGAGGAGGAGGAGGAGGAGGAGGGAGGAGGAGGCCGAGCGGGGCAAACACGCGCTGGGCCAGCACGCGCCCCGAGGATCGCCGGGCCTTCCACAGGCCGTCGAACTGCGCCGCCTCGGACGGCAGGCCCGCGGGCCGCACGCCCATGGAGTGCAGCACGAAGCCCCCGAAGTAGAAGCTCAGCACCATCCTCGGGAGCGGCCAAGAGGGGGGTGTCCAAGAGGGGGGGGGGTGCAAATCATGACCGGCGGCATGTGCGCGGCCCAGCGGGGGGGCCTGGGACGCAATGGAATAAGAAGAGGCGCCATGAAATCTGCGGAAAAATCATGGCCCGCGCCATGAAATCCACCCCCCCACCCCTAGTCATCACCCCCCTCTTTTCCGCTCCCGACATCCCCATGTTGACCGCGCTGCTGTTCAGGGCGAGCGTGGACGCCTCGAGGCCCTTCGGCGTGGCGTGCAGCAGCACCTCGGGGCATCGCGGGATCAGCGCGGAAGAGATCTGAGTCTCGTCGCCCTGAGGACTGGCAGCTTTCCCCCTGCGTGTCGAGTCCCGACGCGTGCCCCCGTCTTGGCTTCGGGTCCGCAGCTGCAGCACTGCTGTCAAAACACTTGGAGGAACCAACAGAAAGCCGGCAACATCTTTGAAACACCCGTTCGCCGATCCCTGCGTACACCCCCACTGGCGTGGCCTCGGCCCCGCTGGCCGACTTACCCGCCTGGGTGGGGATGTCTGCTCCGTGGCTCCGGCCTCCCCCCCCTCATGCTGATGCCTTCGGCCCCCCCCCCCCCGCGCATGATGGGTCCCCCCTCCCTGTGGGCGCGCTGTGGTGGGCCCCCCCGGTCACTGTGGGCATGGGGTGGTGGGGGGTACCGGTATCCCCCTTCCTTCACTCTGTGGGTGTGGGGAGGTGCTTCGGTGCAGTCGTCGTCATCGTTGTCGTGGTCGTCGTCCGTCATCGTCGTCGTCTTGCGTCGTCTCGCGTCGGGCCCTGGGACCGATCCCATCTGGGGGGGCGGCCTGTGAACCCTCGACGTGGGCCATATATGCCTGTTCCTTCGGGTTTCGTGGGGTCTTTCCCCAACTGGGAGGGTGGGCTGGTGGGGTTGAGATACCATGGCCCAGTGGGGATGGGGATAGGTTAGACGATGCTGCGCACCAGGGAGAGCGGGAACTGGCGCCATGCCCGGACGACCATGTCGCAGAACGCCCAAACGAGCAGCCACGCGCGGTCGGGTATCCCGATCGCAACGTTCCACCTCGGCTATACGTGAGAGTGGCCCTAGGTAAGAGTGAGCTTTGGTGCGCGGCTTCCCGATCGTTACACGCGGTACGAGAGTAGCGGCCTGCGTGCTTAGGTGTGGACCCCTCGCGCACCCCGAAACCAGCGCACCGAAGGTCACTCCGACGAAGGATCGCTCTTACGTGTAGCCGACCACCGCAGGATGAGGGGCACGAGCATGAGCTGGCTCATTGCCACCAGCGGCACGGCTGCGAGCAAGGCCCGGTCGTACCGCCAGTGGCTCAGCAGGGACTTCGCCGTGATGAAGCCGACCATGCGGCCAACCACCGCGACCGAGGTCACGGCCGTGACGTAGAAGACCGGCGAGAGGTGCGGCCCGTCGGCCAGGGCCGAGGGCGGGTCGGTGAAGAAATAGAAGAGCGCCCCGTTGATCTGCAGGTTCAGGCACCGCATGACGAAATAGAAGATGACGGGCTTGGATATCTCTGGGCGTATGACCACCCCGTAGCCGAGGAGCACGAACAGCGATGCCGCCACCGCGATCGCGAAGATCGCCCTCTCGGGTATGCCCGTCAGGGACCCGCACGCCTAAAGCAGCAAGAAAACTGTAAAAATACAATTCCTCGGAAATCCGCGCGGACTTCTTGGATCTGCGCCGAAGACGCCGCCAGGGGGGCGCCAGCGCCGATCTGAGAAATCCGCGAGGACCTCCGATACAGCATGTCTCCAGACACGCAACATCCTGGTTTGTTCAACGCGCGACCCCCGGAAACCCCGACCCGTTCCCCTGGGCTGGCTTTCAGCCCAAGCTATTTCTTGATGGTCCCAGGGACTGGTAAGGACCCCCAGAGGCCGACGATTGAGATAATCCCCGGGGTTTGTTTCCCCCCAGGACGCGCCGCCGGCACCCCCGTACATGTCTCGGGCGTTGGCAGAACCGGGTTTAGTGGGACCTGGTTTAGTGATGTGCACTGGGGGACGCCCCCCCGCCCCGTTCCACTAACCGGAACTGCCGTCACCCGAGAAAGCACCAGCTGCGGCAAACCTGGTTTAGTGATTCTGGCCAATTCAGGGGCTCCAGTAGAGGCCTCCTAGATGGGGTCGGAGTGGATGGGGTCGGAGGATCGCGCCGTATCGCCGATACATCGAGGATACGTCGCTGATGCATCGGCGATGCATCGGTGACATCGGCGATGCATCGGCGACGCCAGCGTGGAGGAAATCGGGCTCCACATCGAGCCACATCGCCGATGCATCGTCGATGCGGCGCGATCCTCCGAGCCCATCTGCTCGGACCCCGTCTAGGAGGCCTAGGTCCAGGGCCCTACTACTAACCAGGTCCCCTAACCACTAGCTGCGGCAGACCTGGTTTGGTGATCCTGGCCACTTCAGGGGCTCCAGGGCCCTACAGTCGGACTTCATTGGACAGGACACGCGAGAGGACAAAAGACCCTTCCGAAGGCCACAGTGTCATCGGAATGCCAGGAGGCATGGGTCGCGAGACACAGGACACAAAGGCCCCCTTGATTTGGCGGGGTCGACCTGCTGATCCGGGCCGACTGCACCACTGACCGGGCCCCCTTCCCTGGGGCCCTGGCCATACCCGAAGTGTCCCGCGGCCCCACAGGAGAGGCTCTTCCGAAGGCCCCAGCGGCGGTGCCCGCAGGGCGGCACCGTGACCCATGCCAGCACACCCCCTCGCGCGCTTCGTAGTCCCCCGTGGGGAGCTGCCCCTCTTCCGTCCCGCATGCCTTGCGTTGTGGATGCCACGACAACGGACACCCTAACAGTCCTACCATTGGATTAAAAATGTGTCTAAAATGTGGGAAAATGTCGTGAAAAGGTTGACAACAGGTTGTTCAAAAAAAACGTTAAACCAATTAACACATGTATTAGAAATCTGGAACTTCTTTGGCAACATGCTTCCTCTGCAGTGATCGTCCTCCACACGCCTTGCGGACCTCGCACCCGAATGTGGCGGGTTCAAATAAACAAAAAACATGAACAACAAAAAACCTTGCCATCTCTTGGGAAGCTGATTTTTACTTCCGCCGGCCTTCCGCCGGCTTCTGCCGGCGGAGGCGACCTTGGCTTGCTTCCGCCGCCTTCCGCCGCCCCTTCGCCGAGTAAGAGAAGGCAGCGCCTTCCATCCTCGCAGACGAGGCCCCTTCTTGAATGCCTCATATGGCTGGGTTGTTCGCCAAGCAAAGTTTCCAGGACGTTGCGCGTATGGGTTTGCCCCGGTGTTGGGTTTCTCGAGCGCCAGGGCGATCAGCAGCGGGAGCAGGCACAAGCCGAGCGCGAAGAGGCGGGGGTTGGAGCGCAGCACGCCCAGGTCGAGGCCGCGCTCGTGGGGCCCGAGCTTCTCCTCCTGTCATTTCCGATGCGCAACGGTGGTGATGAAGGATTACCAATCGAGAACAACGCGACCCTACCAATCGAGAACAAAGCGACACTACAAATTGTCCACAACGCCACGGCATTACCAATCGATGACACCACGACATTACCAGGCGATAGTAACGCGACGTTACCAAATGATCACAACGCGACGCCCGAGCTTCCGCTCCTGCAGCAGGTTCCAGCCGGGGATGACGAGCAGCAGGGCGGTCAAGGGCATCGCCACGAGGTAGGGCGTGCGTGGCCCGGCGTAATGGGTAGAGGAACACAACAGAAGGCACAAGTATAAACTTTCGGAGCTCCGCTCGGGTTCCCTGGGTCGGCGTTGGGCCATCAGTGATTCTTGGAAGGGGCAAGGTCGGTTTCTTATCATTGCCAGAAGTCTTGACCTTGCGAATAAAAAAAAGTCAGAAACGAAACAAAAAAGGCTCCGGGATTGAAACAGGAGCTGGAACCAGAAGAAAGAAACAGTGACAGAACCGGGAAAGAAAGCGTTAGAACCGAGGAAGTAACTGAAAAACGACAACGAACACATATAGGCCCTGTTGTTTCCAAAGCCCCCTTGGCACCGCGCCAGGAAGGGGGGATCAGCGCAGGTCCAAGAGATCCGCGCGGACCGTCGAAAGTTTATGTTTGTGCAGTTGCTTCTTCCTCTAATAAATGAGCGGTCCGAGCATCAGGACGCTGATGGCGACGCCAGAGTTCATGCACGTCTCCCTGAAGGCGACCAGCTCTGGCCCCAGGCTTGCGTGCTCCTAATCGGCGGCAAACCAAAGACGGCTCTCAGAGAAACCGAGAGCTTCTGAGAAGCCCTTCCGTCTTCTGAGAAGACCTGCCCCATCTCACTTCCCCTCTGGGGGCGCCGCCGATCCTTTGCCACCTGCGACTGCCTCGCGTCCACCAGCAGCGTGGACCCGGCAACCTGCAGGGACGCGAAGAAAACGGCGATGACCACGGTGACCTGTGTGTCGGCCCAGCCGAAGGCAAGCGCGAATACGCCACCGCGCTCGCGCGATCGTGGCGTGTTAAGAATGCTTCTCAGTTGTCTGTTGGGACTTCTGTCGATTTCCAAGGCCGACCCCCCCTCTCCCAAGTGTCACGCGCGCCCTCCGAAAACGGCCCCGCCATCCTTTCCTAGCTGGGTTTCCACGCGCCTTCTCCGGAGTCCAGACGGCTCCCAGCTCCAAGATGGCCAAATTCCGCACACTAATGGCTGCAAGATGCCCGAAGATCAGCCCAAGATGGCGCCCTGTGACACCTCAGATGCCCCCTGGAGGCCTCAAGAGAGCCCATGCGGCCCCTGAGGGCCGCCCGAAGAGGCCTCTCCAGCGAGGCCCAGAGAGGCCCAACAGAAACACACACACACACACACAAAAAAAAAAAGGAGAGAGAAGAAAACAGCAGGAGGTGTCCGCTTTTGAGGCGCCTCCGCTTCACAGCCTCAAGATCCGCCCGTCCATCCCCAAGATGGTTCAACCGAGCCCCCTTCCGGAGAGCTCGGTAGAACCATCGCGTGGCGTCGCGTCGAAAACGGCTCCGAGAGCCCCCGCGGGCGCCCCACAGGCCCCCTGGAGGCCGCTGTGTAGACGGCCCCAGGAGGCCCTCCAGAATCTCCCAGATGAAGGAAGAGAGCGAGAACCAGGCTGAGGACAAGGAGGGTGTGTTTAAGACCCGCGCCATGTCCGACAGGGCACTGAAGTGGCACGGGTCTTCAGCTCAACCTCATTCCTGCTGCGCTGCTGCGCTGGTGCGATGGCAGGGCTTGCCGCAGGCAGCTCGATACTGCGGCTGATGACGCTATCGTCATGGCGACGATGTACGAGTTTTTCCGATATCCACAAATCGGGACAGCATCGCTCATGAAGCCTATAAGAGGCTTTAGCACCCATGGTGCTGTAGTGCTGATGGATACCAGCGCCTGCAGCCTGGATGCAGGTACGTGAAGATCCCCTAGCAAGAACTCCACGGGCTTGCCTATGAGCCCTTCGTCACCGCCCCCAGCGACGATCCCCTTTAGTACGAAGTGCGTGATGAATATGCTCCCGACGAGCTGCCAGGAGAGCTGATCGCACAAGTTCCTTGCCCAGCCGAGCCTCTTCTGGACGCCGGTGCTCACCTGTCCCGTGGACCCCGAGCTCAGCTGCAGCGGCGTGGTCTCGGTGGGCTCCCGCGACTGCCCTGCCTGCTGCCCACCACGCACCATGGCTCCTCACGAGCTGCCCTGGGCGATCCCGCCGTGGCTCAGCGCTGCATTGGACGGACACGCCACTGGAGGCTCGGTGCCCACAGCGGAGGGACAAAGAGCGGCAAAGACATGAACTCCTCGGATGCTCGCGCGGGTTTCTTGGATCGGCGCTGGAGGACCCCCCCCGCCCTGGCGCGCGCAGCACGCCAAGAGCGGCGCCACACGCCAGGGCGGGGGACCCAGCGCCGCGGTCCAAGAAAATCCGCGCGGGCCTCCGAGAAGTGACGCAACACCCCGCAGCTGCGGACAAGACTGAGGGGGGCGGGGGCGCGGCGCGGGGGGCGGGTCGCGGGTGGGGCGCGGGTGGCTCGCGGGTGGGTGGCGGAGTCGGTCGCGAAGTGGGTCGCGGGGGGAGGGGGTCACAGAGCGGTCGCGGGGGCGACGACGACGACGACGACGACGACGACGACGACCACGACGACGACGACGACGACCACGACGACCACGACGACGACCACGACGACGACGAAACTCAATTCTGTTCAACTCAACTCAACGACTCCAGGAGCAGCGTCCTGATCGTTACTGCCTCAGTTCCTGGACCAGGGTGGCGAGCATCGTGCCCGCCTCAAGCAGCTGAAGAAAAAGACTTCTGAAATGCTTATGAGCGCCTGCGAACCGGACTACCTGGCCGCCGAAGACGCTGGGTGGTGACAACAGCACGGGCACTCTGCGGCGCCCACTAGAACAACAAGCAAGCATGATCCAGGCCACGGAACCCCACTTCACCCACGCACCCACGGATGGTGTAAATCCGTTCGGCCCTCTCACTCTCATGCTTCTGCTGTACTTTGCCCGTCGAGACAGGAAGGGCCCGGAGAGAAGCCTGCGAGCCGGATGGCCTGAGCCAGCACGGCTATGGGAAATGACTGGGCACAAACTCTTCTCGGGAGAAGGAGGAAGGAACAGGGAG